CCCCCCCCCGGGTTTCTCCGAGGACCCAGTTTTTGCGGTGAGATCCCACATCTGGTTCCGATTGCGGCCTGCACTCCAGCTGCGGTCGGCTCTGTTTAGAATAGACCCAGAATCTGAAACCGTCGCCGCGCTGCGGTCTCAACTCCCAAACCAGCGGAGACCTTTTGGCTGAGGCCATCGGGCTGAGGATGGAAACTTCGTCTTATATTTATACACCACGTTCCTCCGAGGCCCAGTGTGTGGAGATGTTTTTGAAAGATGGCAGCCGGCCACGCAGGGGCTGTTCTGGGAGCAGCGAATCGCATTGCTCCACGCTGCACTGATAGGTGGAAGGACGCTATACAGATTACAGGCCTCACTGTTTTTTCTTTTCTGCAAATTCCTCACATATTTGTCTCTGTTGACACTTTGAGCCTCCCTGCATGTTTCAGAAATGATCTTATCGAGGTGAACTCCTCTTCATGTGTTCACCTGTTTCACCAACACTGCTGCAGTTAAAAAAATAATTGCCTTTAAAAATGAGTCTTGGGTTCGATGTTTTGTTTTTCTTCCTCTCACTTTACTCTTTGTGCTTTGGTCTGCTGGCTCATGAAAATGTAAAGCTTTTATTTTTCATGATTTAATTGCACAAAGAACTTTTAACAGTGTATATAAGAGAATACAGGAAAAACTGCATTAACCTGCACGTACAGCTCAGAGGTTTAATGATATTAAAAAAAACAATAACTGGGTTAAGTTAAATTTTCTCTGATAAAATATTTAGCTGAAGGATAAACACTTGAAACAGCTAAGTTGTGAGTATGCAGGTTAAACTGGTGATTTAAAAGAGAAACGATTAGAAACAGTCTAACATAAATATTTAACTAATAGTAGCATATGTAGCAGTGTGTGGAGGCTGTAACATCAATTCAGTCTTTGTTTTAATCGATTGCAGCTTCATGTGTGAGTTTTTCTGTGCTTGTGTCCCGTGGAGTGGGTCTTTACAGCGCTCTGTCCTGCTATTTGTCGAAGTGAGATGTCAAATTTTGTGTGAGAGCAGAAGAAGAAGAAGAGGAGGAAATGTGGCGCCCATATGCTGCTGTTGTTTGTTTGCTCCGGCTGTTGCTTCTAATTAGTGGCTCTGCGATGTGCTGCCAGGACGCCTGAGCCCTTATGAGCATGCTCTGTATCCACAGTGAGTCTGCCCAACCCCCCATCTGTGCAGCACTGGCTAGAGGAAATGTTCTGTGATGGGACCTGGTCTGTTCTCTGCTCATCCCTTTGTTTTACAGGAACTTGGCGACTGCATGGACTTTCAGTTTATAGTTTGATGCTGGTTTAAACATACTGGAAATGCGGCAACCTGCATTGGAAGCAGGTTTATAAACTCTTCCTGCTGGTGTCAGCACTTTTAATACAGCAAACATCAAACTCTTATTCAAACCATAACAATTAATTTTTTTAAATTTTATCCCCATTTTTCTTCCTCCTTTTTATCTTCTCCTTATTTTGTTTATATCTTCATTTTATTCTTTACTCTTTCTTTCTTATCTTCTGATTTGGAGGTTGGCTTCCTCTTTTTATTCTCACTTCTTCCTCTTTGTCTTTATGTACTTATTCCATTTTTCCACTTATTGGCGTTGTTTTCATACTCTTCCTTTATATTTCCTCTTTATTATGCTTTTCCTCTTCCCCTGATGTCTTCCTTCTTCTCCATTCTTTCAGACTATAATTTCTTACCTTGTGTTTTCAGGTGATGAACATGGATGGGACGGGGCGACGGGTGCTGGTGGAGGACAAGCTTCCTCACATCTTTGGCTTCACCCTGCTTGGAGACTACATCTATTGGACAGACTGGCAGCGGCGCAGCATCGAGCGCGTGCACAAACGCACCGCAGTGAGAGAATTCATCATCGACCAGCTACCCGACCTCATGGGCCTCAAGGCCACGAATGTACATGAAGCTTTTGGTGAGTCCAGCTGATGATGGTCTGGTCTGCAGCAAATAAACCTCTCCATTTTCTCCCCAGATGCTAACTTTCTGCTTCACATGCTCAGGTACGAACCCGTGTGCAGATGATAATGGCGGCTGCAGTCACCTCTGTCTGTACAAGCCTCAGGGCGTGCAATGTGGCTGTCCCATCGGCCTGGAGCTTATTGCCGACATGAAGACCTGCATTGTCCCCGAGGCCTTCCTGCTCTTCTCTCGTCACACAGACATCCGCCGGATCTCCCTGGAGACCAACAGCAACAATGTTGCCATCCCGCTCACTGGTGTCAAGGAGGCTTCAGCACTCGACTTTGACGTCACCGACAATCGCATCTACTGGACCGACATCACTCTGAAGGTGGGACTCATTTTCACATACTTGTTTTTAGTCGTTCTCAGTTTTTTTTTTTTTTCTTTCTTCCTCACGTCGTCTGAATCTTTTCTTCGGTTAGATTTTTTCTTCTTTCTCTCTAACACTTCCTGGTGTGAGCAGAACCTTGGTTGTGAACTAGGGGTGGGTTTCAAAAATAAATTTTAGCGTGAATAAAGCACTATCGATTCATTAAATCCTGAATCATTTTCTAAATATAAATGTATTTTGCCAGAAACTCGAGAATTTGAGGTTAAAGCTCACAAAACGATTTCAACAACCACCAAACAGCTAAAACGGCAAATGAGAGCAGGTAAACGAATTCCACACAAAGATGTAAACAAAAAGCTCGGACCCTGCGCATCAGAATGTGTCAGATGTCGGCTTTCTCACCTGACGGCATGTACATGGACACGCCATCGGTGCAAAAAAAGACAGCTCACTGATTCTGAAGCTGCAGGTTTTGTCATTCTCCAACCAAAATTCACTGAACAGGCAGCAAAAGAAGATCAAAACTACACTTCACATTTGATGAACATTGTCATAAATTCCCTCTTACTTTTGCTGTTTTGCTTCCATCATGATAAAAATCACACTTCCTGGGCAGTTCTCTAATTGTACTTCAAGAAGTGTTTCCCATCTCAAACCACTGTTTTCTGTATTATTTGCTTGCTTATTACGCACTAGTCTACCGTTGTTTACAGTGCTGTCGGTCACTTCTTTGTTTTGTTTTGTTTTCCAAAAATGACCTCCAACAAAAAAGCCTCATTTCTGCTTTTTAATACCAAAGAAATTAAAACTAAAATTCTGCCAAACTGCAAAACGCTTGGCTGGTTCTCTTAATAAAACCTCTGTAACTTTGCTCTGCTTCAGTAGCATCAGGTAAAGTCCATATGTTGATTCTTGCTTTTCTTCAGTTTTTGATCTACAGCAGAATATTTTTAAGGTTATCTGCTATAAAAAGCCAGGCCAGGAAAATCTCCTTCATGATTTTCTGTGTTTTATCCTCATTTACTTTGACACAAAGGCATCTGCTGTGATGCTCACACCTCTGATGAAGTCTCTCAAGTCTCAGTACTGATAAATGATGATATTTCTGACTGTCTGAGTCAAAATCTAATCAAATCAAATCAATTCTAGAAATCAGTGAGGATACCCAGGCCTATTGTGAACTGCTGTTGTTTATCCAGTCTTTACTTTGACCGTTGACCTGTGCAGACCATCAGCCGGGCCTTCATGAACGGCAGCGCTCTGGAGCACGTGGTGGAGTTTGGTCTGGATTATCCGGAGGGGATGGCGGTGGACTGGCTGGGAAAGAACCTGTACTGGGCTGACACTGGCACGAACCGCATTGAGGTAGCCAAACTGGACGGGCAGCACCGGCAGGTTCTGGTCTGGAAGGATCTGGACAGTCCCCGAGCTCTGGCTCTGGATCCGGCCGAAGGGTGAGAACCGCATGAAGCGGTCTGCAGGTCATGATGGTGGGTGTGGTTTGTGCTGACCTGTCTCCTCTCTGCAGGTACATGTACTGGACAGAGTGGGGGGGGAAGCCAAAGATCGACCGAGCGGCCATGGACGGGACAGGACGGATCACGCTGGTGGCCGATGTGGGGCGAGCCAATGGACTCACCATCGACTACGCAGAGCGCCGCCTGTACTGGACCGACCTGGACACAACGTTGATCGAGTCCTCCAACATGCTGGGTAATCTCTCAACCTCATAACTGCCAACCTAACCATTCAGCTCATGTTAGAGTAGCAGAGCGCACTTCGTGTTGTGTGACATAAACGATAGAAAGCATCAAAGTTTTTACTTCTTCGTCCCCTTTAGGTCTCGACCGTGAGGTGATTGCCGACGACCTCCCTCACCCGTTCGGTCTCACCCAGTATCAAGACTACATCTATTGGACAGACTGGAGCCAGCGCAGCATTGAGCGTGCCAACAAGACCAGCGGGCAGAACCGCACTGTCATCCAAGGTCACCTGGATTACGTCATGGACATCCTGGTGTTTCACTCGTCCAGACAGGGCGGCTGGAACGCCTGTGCCTCCACCAACGGTCACTGCTCCCACCTCTGCCTTGCTGTCCCTGTCAGCAGCTTCGTCTGTGGCTGCCCCGCCCACTTCTCCCTCAACTATGACAACAAGACCTGCAGCGGTGAGAAGACGCTTACACCCCTGCATGTATACAAACATCATGCAGAGTTATTTTGACACCTAGATTGAGAGAGAAATAAAATAACTGAAACGGCAAGCGTCATCTTTGACTTCTGTATGGTGGCCTTTATGGGACATCTCAGACTCAGCTGAAGTTTGAGCTTCATAGCTTGAGTTATCTTTGTTTACTGTTTCTGCCCCACAGAAGCTCTAAGAATTCTGTCTGACGTGTTTCTGTCTTTCAGCTCCCACATCCTTCCTGCTCTTCAGCCAGAAGACGGCAATCAACCGCATGGTGATTGATGAGCAGCAGAGCCCTGACATCATCCTGCCCATCCACAACCTGAGGAACGTCCGCGCCATCGACTACGACCCACTGGACAAGCAGCTGTACTGGATCGACTCCAAGCAAAATGTCATCCGCCGTGCTCAGGAGGACGGGAACCAGGTACTGCATCCATTAGAAAAACTGGAACCACTGCCGGTCCCTGGGGAGAAAATCCAGATTCTGGTGGTTTTAGTTAACAGTCAGATCAAAACTGCCAGAGGAACTGAAAGTGTTTTTGGACAGTTGGAGAGTCTGCTTCCGGGTCCAAACTGCTGTTTATTAAGGCTGTTTTGTTTTTAACATGTTTTAATGTTTTGTATGTTGTTCTATTTAATCTAAACAAGCCCCTAAAAAGAAAAAAGAAAAAAAAAGTCAGTGATCACTGTGTACCACTACTCATTTTAAAGCACAGTTTTTAAAACCTTATGATATAGCTACAGCCCAGCCCGTGCAGCAGTATATTAATGACTAACCTCATATTGTGGATGGATTATCTCAGTTGTTCTCCTGACTGAAGTTTGGTCCGTTTACAGCATCCTGCCATGCGATTGCATTTGTCTCTAACCATCGGGAACTCACACGTTAACTTTTATCGAGTGGAAAAAGGGGAGCATTCATCCTCCAGCTTCACTGTGTTTGTTATGCTAACATAGCTGTGTCACTAGCCACCAGGTAGCACATCATTATATACCAGCTAGCTCAACTTTAGTAACGTCACTGCTGTTTAGTTTTCTGGCTTCAATTATGTTGGAAGTGATAGCAGAGCTGTACATTTTGATTTTTTCACAAAACTCTGTCAGAACATGCTATATCATGTTTAGGTGGAAACTAGCGAGCTAACTCCCTGCTAACTTCTAACTCTGTTAAATTTGATAAATTCTGTTTTCATGGATGCCTGGATTTTACACTTAATTGTTACCCCTGGTAGAGCAGCACATTGATCCTTTTATCAAACAAGAAAGAATTTAATCAGTTTGTAACTCTCAGTGATGCTGCAGTGTTCGTTTGACTTCAGGACCTGAAGCGGAGTTTGGACGTCAGACTTAAGGACCGGATAACCGGTGCCATAAAAGAAAACAACGGGCTCACTGGATATAAAACAAGGTCCCGTCTGAGCCCCATGAGCATTTTTCACTGCAATAATTGTAGTAAATGTGCAGAAGTCAATTTGACCTTCATACTGTTTTAAGCGCTGTTTCAGACCCAGAAAAGTCCAGATTTATTTCCTTTTAATATTATCAGTTTAATTTTAACATTTACGATTCATAACCTGATGAGTTCACCACATTTAAACAGAAATGGAGACAGTTTACATCCACTACGAGAAACAAGCTAACGACTAAATCTGGCTTTTGTTAAGCATTATTTTTTTGTATAATCAGCTCTGAGCATCATGGGATATATTGTAGTTTCAGTAAACTGCAACAGTTTAATGTCTTGACATTTTTCATGAATCTTAAACTTTGAACGTAAACAGAGAGATGAGACAGAAACCTTAAACCTGCAGTTTTCTCAGGGGGAGTTCAAGTCATTCCTAAATAAACATCGCAAACGACCTTAGTGACAGCATCTATAGAGAGGAGAGGGCCATGTGTGAGCATGTGCAAACGATATGTCGCCACTTTGATGTCGTTCTTGATGGAGGGTGTTTCTGGTGTCATTTTGGACATTTTGTGCGTGTGGGCAGTAAAAACAACCTTCATTTGTCTCTTACAGATTAAACATTTCAAACTGCCCGTTTCTGGTTTGTTTTTCCAGAGCATGACAGTGGTGTCGGGCTCTCTGGGCGGACACAGTCAGGGTCTGCAGCTGTACGATCTCAGCATCGACATCTACAGCCGCTTCATCTACTGGACCAGCGAGGTCACCAACGTCATCAACGTCACCCGCATCGATGGCAGTAGAGTCGGTGTGGTGCTGCGGGAGGAGCACGACAAGCCGCGGGCCATTGTCGTCAACCCGGAGAGAGGGTCAGTACCACTGAGGCCTCACACCAGTAATCACCATCATTACATCATCATCATCATCAGGGCACTTTTTTTCAGGCCAGTCAAAAATGACAAAACAAATGTAAATGCACATCCCTGTCAGCATGGCCACATAGGCTCAAAAACACAACGTAATAAATATTATTAAATCCTTTACAAATAACAGCATATTTATATATGAATATAAGTGACGATAAATACATTTTTTGTTCAAATGAGAGACGATGAGATGAGATAGCCTTTATTTGTCAGTTGCAGGTCTTTTGCCCACAACCGAGATGACAGACCATACAATACACAAACATCACATTGGGGAGACAGGTCAGGCTAGGTAGCGAGGAAAAAAACATCGAAATGTGCAACACAAAAGGATAATACAGGAATGAAATCTTTTCGATCTCTTCCGATTCTTGTGTTTTTCGTTGTGTATGAGTTGAATCTTTGTTTCTGGAAAGCATCAGGTTGCGGTGAGATGGACCTGTGCTGTAGGTTTAACACAGAAGTATAAATCAAACCCTGAACGTTTGTCTCTGGATCAAATATTATGATGTTATCATCTTGCCTAGCAACCACCTAACAACAGACAAAAACACCCAGTATTTGTAGCATGGGCATGTAATGGTAATAAACTGGAACAAATACTGTGGGGTACTTCATCTTCCTTGTTTACACCATCCCAGGCTGAAAAAAATCGTTATGAAAACTGAAATCTGTTCAGGATTCAACATTAAACAGCTGAGAAACACTTGAATGATAAACATTAACATGATTCCTGGTTGTAAATCAGCTCTTTCATCCTCCTGTGTTTCTGTAGTTAATCTGATTTAGATCCAGAAAATGTCACCTGACCCACCTGCAGGTCGTCTGTATGGCGGTGTGTGTGTGTGTGCACTCTGCCTTTAATCGCTCTCTAATTTGTCCTCCATGTTTGTTCTGTCGGGCTGCTGCAGTTCACTGGCTCTGACTCGCTCGCTCTGAGCCATAATTGTAGGTTAGTTTCAGGCCTTGTGGTCGAGAGATGAAGTCTGCAGATGTTCTGGTTAACTTCAGAGCGGCGAGAGGGAGAACGTGTACAAACCTCCAGTCTTTGTCCTCACAGCCCGTACATTATGTCCCCACAGGTACATGTACTTCACCAACCTAATGGAGCGCTCTGCAAAGATCGAGCGGGCGGCGCTGGACGGTACAGAGCGTGAGGTGCTCTTCTTCAGCGGCCTGATGAAGCCCGTTGCTTTGGCCATCGATAACGAGGTGGGGAAGCTGTTTTGGGTCGACTCAGACCTGCGGCGCATCGAGAGCAGTGACCTCTCGGGTGAGTTGGGGCCGTCGGGTCCACTTCAGTGTCACCTGTCCAAATATTTTACTGTTTACTGCAGATTGACCAGAGGCTCAGAGTTCGTCTTAAAAACTGAGTTTGGTGTTTTTCAGCTTTGAAGATATTAAAGGAATTTATTTAAAACTGGAGTTCATCCTGCTGCACATTCAAATCAAATCTGTTCCTGTGGATTCTGAACCTAATGCTCAGCAGTACGAACCTAAACAGGAAATAAACAAACCTCCATGAATGTCAGAAATCAGCGGAGGTGGGGGTTGGTGTGGAGACCGGCATTCCTGTGATTCTCCGGCGCCGCGTGCCGGCCGGCAGGAATGTAAACTGTTCAGTTCCTCAAATGTTTCCTCCTAAAGGAAACTCGGCCCTGCAGATTTTAGCTGCAGGAGGCTGTGAATCCTTTTTCTCTTGTGAATTTTGTGCCTCTGGGACTCCGCCTTGATGAGCAGATTTTCAGGCTGTTGACCTCGGTGTATCGCTCTCCATCCTCCCACCTCCCCTCTGCCTCACCCCTCAGTTTCTTTCCCGTTTCTTTGCTCCTGAAGTTTTTGCCCTACAACCTTGTTCTTTTTTTTCTTTTTTCTTTTTTTTTCCTTTCCCGGCACTTTTTTGAAATGATTTAGGAGCCAATCGCATCGTGATTGCGGACTCGAACATCCTGCAGCCCGTGGGCCTGACTGTTTTCGGGAACCACTTGTACTGGATCGACAAACAGCAGCAGATGATCGAACGCATTGACAAGACGACGAGGGAGGGACGGACCAAGATCCAGGCCCGCATCGCCTACTTAAGTGACATCCACGCAGTCCACGAGCTCGACATGAGGGAGTACAGTGAGTCCGCTTTACATGCACGATTTAACAGATTTCCTCAAACTGAAACCGCGCTCACCTGAGCTCTGCGATTTCCAGGTAAACATCCATGTACGTGGGAGAACGGCGGCTGCTCTCACATCTGCATCGTGAAAGGAGATGGGACGACGCGCTGCTCATGTCCTGTTCACCTGGTGCTGCTGCCCGACGAGCTTTCATGTGGAGGTGAAGCATAAAATCATCAGCATTAATAAAGATTGCTCAAAGACTTGAGCAACCCTCCTCTCAGTAAAATAAAATAGATAAGGGCTATTTGAGATAACGATATATATCGGATAGGAAAATGTCTATCATTTCAAATTAGCCTATTGTTTATTTTGTGGTGACACAAAAGTAAACATAAGAACAGGTTTTCCCCCGCAGCACGCCGTGTAATAAATACTCACAAAGAAAATTGCAGCTGTTTGAGCTTATGTAACACTCAACTCCAGGTGTACGACGCCCAGCTGAAAACACTTCACGCAAGTCGAGTTGCCTGAGAGTCACAGAATTGTAATAAATGTCTTATATCGGGATATGAAATTTTGGTCATATCACACAGCCCTGATGTAGATATAGATAGATATGTGATATAGATATATATTCATATATTTGAATACAGTTTCAACGTTAATATAAGGTTTGACCAGTGTCTGCGTCGTCCTCAGAGCCGCCCACCTGTTCGCCGGAGCAGTTCTCCTGCACGTCGGGCGAGGTGGACTGCATCCCACAGGCCTGGCGCTGTGATGGTTATGCAGAGTGCGACGACGGCAGCGATGAGGAGGACTGTCCAGTCTGCTCCGACTCAGAGTTCCAGTGCGATAGCCGGCAGTGCATCGAACTGAGCCTTCGCTGCAATGGAGAGATCAACTGCCAGGACAAATCTGACGAGAACAAGTGTGAAGGTGAGCCGGGTAAGACAGAATCTTTGAGGCGGGAACGCCGCAAAGTAAAACTTTAATTCCTCAGCGATTTAATTTTCAAAGCTTGTGTGTGTGTACCTGTGAGAGTGTACAACATTTGTTTGATAATTTCTAAACGCTTCACTCCTGAAATAAAAGTCAAAGGAGCCACAATGTTTAAATATCAGTGGCCCGACCACAAACGGCAGCTGTAACAAGTCTGTTGAGCGTTTTTTGACTAAATGTTTGTCTGCAGTTCGGTGTCCCGCCGATCAGTTCACCTGCTTCAACGGCCAGTGTATTGGGAAGCACAAGAAGTGCGACCACAACATGGACTGCATGGACAACTCAGACGAGACGGGCTGCTGTGAGTCTGCAAACACAAACATCCAAAACATCCGAGCAGTTTGATCCGGTTTATCTTTTTTAATCTGATCACTTATGTTCTGACCTGCGGGAACATCTTAGAATCAGAATCAGAATACTTTATTCATCCCGAGGGAAATTAGCTGTGGTGCTTCTGTCAGACTTCAAATCACTGAAACAGAAAAACGTCTAACAGTTATGAATAAATACGTACGTGTACTACACCAAGAGTTGGGGTACACACATACCCACACAGGTTTACTGTACACCAAGAGTT